GGGCGATGACCTGTTCGATCAGACTGGGCTGTTCGTTCAGATTGGAATTGCCACCCGCGGCCCCCGCGCTCCGAGGGGGGGGGAGAGGGGGGCGGTGAAAGTGCCAAAGGGTGGCGGCCAAGGTTAATGACCTCGTGCCTGGAGATCTTGCCAGGCTTGCACGCGGCCAAGACGCCGCGCCTTCGTGCGAAGCACGCTGCCGCAAGCCGCCAGCCACCTCCTGCTCGAAATGTCGAGTTGAGGCGTTCGAGTACGGGGCGCGGGAGTCGCTTCCACGATGGCCACAACGTTGCGCAGGCCTGCCAATCATCAGGATGCGCCGCCTGCCATCCCTCTACGCGCCTGCGCGCAGCTTTCCAGCGCGTGCTCAGAGCCCGCGCGGCGCAGTTCAGCCAGGACGAGGGGGGAACAAGAGCGCAACAAAAAGCCGAGGTCTCTGATGCCGGAATGTGGCGGTAGCTAGGCCGGGCATCTTGGCCCCTTCAGACCCTCGCCTCTCGGGCGCCACCGCTTGGGCCTGTCAGCAAACGCGGCCCAGGTCGAGGGTTGCCCGACGGCGGCCAAATCTCTGTCAGGTTCCAGAGCAAGCATTCGTCCCAGCCGACTTCTTAAACTTGAGTCTCGGCCTCATCCAGTCCAGCATCGCAGGGGGGCGCGGCGCGGCCAGCTGCCTCTTGGTCGCGGCGGGCGCGCGCCAGCACTGTTTTTCCCCCCCCCCTTTTTCCAGGGCGCGTGAGCCATTGTGCAAACCAGGGGGCTAGGATACGTAGACGACCAGCTCACATGTGGAGGCCTGCGCGACACGCGCTTGAGTGGATGACGTCGCCATGGCGCGACATATGCCATAGTATCGGTGGCGGGAAAGTCAAATCTGCAGCTCGGAGATAGTTCGCGACCCTACCAGGTCAGTGGCAACAAAGACATACAACCGCCAGTTCTACATCGTTGACCAGTGTAAGCGTCTAGGGGGACAGCTAAACGCATTGCCAGGCATGGGCCCTGCGCTGGCCTACCGGCGCAACCAGATGCACGCTTGGGCCCCCATGGGGGCCCTCGAGAGGTCAGTTTGATAAGAGTATGTTGCCGCGTCGCCTGCCAACTCCATTGGGCGCGCGAGAGCCTTGCACGCGCCCATGCACAACTGCGCTCTGTTCGGGCGCGCCTCAATTTGAGGCTTGGCGGACCCCGAGATCAGCAACGCATCGGCTGTTCTCATTCTAGCAGCACTTCGGATTAACTATAGCGACGCGCTGCCCCGAGGAGGGCATGCACTTTTTTTCCTAGGAGGCTCAGGTTCTGCCGGCTTCCTGGGGGCCCAGGTTCGCCTGGCACGTTTCTGCCTTCGCTTGAAGCGGCTGGCCTTTCGCCCCAGGCATCTCACGGCGCGCCCCTGCCCCCCCCTCCTGCAGTTGAGATTATTATGTCTAGGACCTGTTAGGCATGTTGTCTCATGCGCTAGAAGCAGTACCGTACTGCAACGTACTGGCTCAAGTCAAAGCAGTAAAAGATTATCATCTTTATTGCCATTAGTTCATATAGCTTTCGCTTCAAGAACTTAGTATTTCCAGTTCAGGATTTTCATCAGAATCTGGAGTTTGGTAGCGGAGCCAGTCGGCTCCCTGCCTTCTGGCTCTCTCTCTGCCGCAGGACATACAGTTACGGCACCGACGACACCTACGAGATTATCATCCCCTGGTGTAGTCTGATATTTGGGTTGTTTCAGTATATCAAGATATACATTACCAGACACAGAGTTGGATCAAACACGGGCTATTTATCTGAAGTTCGGTTGGAAAGATGTTGGCCTCCCCACAGACTACTCCACTCTCCCTCAAGCAGTATTCTAAGGACATACCGCCGGGCTGGCGGCCACGGGCATATCCAATTCGTGAGTATCTAGAAGCGCTAGAGATATGGAGTCGACTCACACGGTTGGAACAGGACCAGCTCGGCGCAGCGGTCATGAGCAGACTGGAAGGCCCGGCACTACGAGCAGCTCAAGATCTACGCGTGACGCGACTTGATCAGGCAGGCAACGTTGTGAACTACCGTGGCATCGAGGCGGTCAGTTTACCAAGAGTTGCAGCAATATTAGACGGCCGAGGCAACGAACTCGCCCCACTACAGCACAGTGGAATCACCATTCTGAATGACAGATTGTTTGAGATGTATGGACTGGACGACCAAGATTTGGCCTGGACATCGCTGGACAGATTCTTTACTTTACGTCAGGAATCCAGTCAGGACTTCATCTCATATCTCTTCGAGTGGGATCACTTATACGAAGAAGCTGAACGATATGGAGGATTACAAATGGGCGAGTCAGCTAAGGCGTGGCTTTTCTGGTCACGGACGACATTCGCTGATAAGACTCTCGCGGATCTACGCTTAAAAGTCAATGGAGATCTCAACAGATGGCGCGAGATGGTTCAATTGCAGCTGAAGGTAAGCAAGAACGAGATGGCAGCTAACGAACAGCACGTTGGATATAAGAACTACTGGGAAGATTCAGACTCCTGGACAAGAGAGTATGAATACGACTACGACAACTACTACGAGGATGATGAGGAGTACTACGACGAGTGGTACGACGAAGAGTATGATGAAGATGATGATTGGTATGACGACAATGGAGATCAAGATGGATACGGAGGCGCAGCAGCAGGTGGCACTTCATCATCTCTTCCATCCCCATCGACACCGGACGAGGACTACTGGCAGCATGTACGCGGAAAAGGATCATACGGCAAAGGAAAGGGCAAGGACGACAAAACCGGCAACGGCAAGAACGGCAAGAAAGGAGGTAAGAAACGACAAGGAGATCAGTGTACGCTATGTGGATCAAGATGGCACAATTCAGACACCTGCCCTCTCAAAGATGATCAGAAAGAGGACAACGCGTATCAGATTGACGAGCAGTATGATGAAGAATACTACGGACAAGGAAAAGGCTATCGCAAAGGAAATCGCAAAGGTAAAAGACGTGGCAACGGCAAAGGATACGATCGAGATCGGCACCGAGGCTATCAAGACAATCGAGGATCTCACGACCATCATCGACGCGATGTTCCACGTTTCGGCAGAAGCGACTTCCAGCAGCGACAGCAGAAAGGTAAAGGACGTGGCAAGAAAGGATATCGATCAAAAGGAAAAGGCTACGACCAACGACGACAGTTCTATCAAGACGCTGATCGCGAGGACGACGCATATGGAAGCTACACGACCTTGCCGGCCATCCATGAACAAGAAGAACCAGACGAACAGGCAGCAGTACCGAATGAGACATCCACGTACGACAAGAACATCATGACACGGACCCCTTTATCTTCAGGAGCGTGCCAGTTCGTACCTACCTCGACGACGGCAGAGAGAACACCGACGCGGAAAGGATCAGCATACGACGACATATTCGGCACCGGAGAGAGAACCACAGTTGGACAGGGACAACCACGGCATCCACCTGGGTTAGGCCCAGCAGCTACGGCGACTGGCGCGACGAGCTCAAGCTTTTCGGCATCATCAAGCGCAGTTTCGGTTTCAGCGTCTACTCATACCTGCTACAGATGTTTCTCAGCGGCGATTGCGAAGTGCGGCACGTGTTCCCGTTCGTTTTGTATATGTCACGGATTCAAAGGACACTTGATGGTGATGTGCTCTTCTTGTTTGGATATCTCAGCCGCCCGGCAGCAACAACAGCATCAATCACAGCAAGACGCACAGTCACCAGGGACCACTTCTCAGCAGCAGACCACACCAAGCTCTGATGACACGTCATCAAGTTGGATGTTGATACCTAGACCGGACGAATCGCAGATTCAGGACGAGCCAGAGGAGTTTGCAGCATTGCCAGCCTCTGGCAACCCGTTCAAGAACTTGGCGGTCATCAGCGGAGTCAACGTCATCGGCCTCATCGTAGACCCTGGAGCGGCTCGCGGTCTTATCGGAAGTGCTACTCTTCGAGAGATCTTCGACAAGCTACTACGACCTCGCGGCCTGATGAAACACGTGATGTGGTATCGTTCAAAGAACAAGTTCACGGGCATCTCATCTCAGCCCCAGCACAGCATCGGTATATGTGTATTTCCTATTGGTCTGGTTGGAATGAAGCATGCTTACTTTTCTTGCGATGTCATCACAGGTCAGTCAGCGAACTGTCCTGGACTTATTCCACTACAGACTCTGCTACGACTCGGCAGCATCATATCGTGCGGACACTTCCAGAATCAAGACGGACTTCTGGGACTGAGACTCGGCAATGGCGAGATGTGCTCACAGAGGATTCTCTTGACGGACTCATCGCACTACTTACTTCCGATCGACAACTTCGACAAAGAAAAGAACGACGTGTGGAACAAAACAGTGCTTCAGCATCAGCAGGAAGTGGACGACGGAGCACATCAGCAAGGACAGCATCATCACGGAGTCACTCTTATATCCATGATCGACGGCAACGACCGAGCACCACATGAGGACCGCGGGACTCATTTTCATTGAGTCCTGGGCACGACGCTAAACTGTTCACTCCAGATACTCTTACCTCATTCTCATCTACGACACGGAAATACTATCGAGATTGGCAAGCTCTTTCTTCAAAGGAATCTTTCTCACTGTGGAACGGCGAACCACTCTTTCCTTCGCACCTACTTCCAGAGGAGTTGGCAGTTGCAAGGACCGAATTCAATTCGATTCCAGAAATGTTCTACGCGACCTACACTTGGCTACCGGTCATCACGCCCGAGAATTACGACGCTTTCGAGGCAGCATTGGCCAAAGGACCTTATTGCGGATATCCGATTCTATGGAGTTGGTGTTCAGGTTCATCCCATCTATCTCTCTGTATGGCATCATTACCTTTCTTATGTGCAGTACTTTTCCCAGTTGACCTACGCTACGGATGGGACCTCAAACATCGACCTCATCAACTCAAGTTACAGAGAGCAGACAAGACATTCAAACCAAGAGTTACGACTATGGAACCAAGATGCAAGTATTGGGGTCACATGGGCACTGGACGAGACATCAAGGACACCATAGAGTTACGAGAATCAGAAATGCCCATGCTGAAGTTCATGACCTCACACGCTGTCAAGATCAAGCAGGATTTCAGAGACAATTTTGTGGAGAATCCAAGATCTTCTAGTATTTGGACGAAGTCTCCCTTGGCAGCTCTCCTTGATCATCCAGCTTATTCGAATCAACGTTACAATACTTGTATGTGTGCTTTCTCCAGTGAAAAGGACGGCCGAAGGAACAAGAAGGACACTACGTTGATTTCGACTTTCTGTCTCAGTCATTCTGCGAAGCGCTGCAGCTGCAAGAAGGAGCACATACATCTTCAAGGTTATGATAAAGAGACGCATCGCAAGCGGACAGCAGCAGCAGCAATGTTTTCAAAGAAGTTCTGTACGGCACTCTGCAAGGACATCTTGGCCCTGGAGTCCAAAGAACCAGGAATCTCTATCAACAAGTTCTCAAGAGCTTTCCCGGCAGCAGCAGATGACGAGGCAGAAGATGAAGCACCATTAGCTCAGTTACCAGCACCAGCAGGACCTAAGTCCTTAGACGACCTCATGGAAGAATTCAAGGACATCGACACCAAGAGCATCAAGATCACGCTCGACACCTTCACGCCCACGGAAGCACAATGGATCAAGGCAGCGATTCTTTCCATCACCGATTACACTATGAGTTTCGGCGTTCCTGGGACACCTACCGGACGGATTTTGATGTTGCCTGGTACTGGTAGACCACAACAGGAAGGTGCACGAGTTCTATGACATGCTCTCAGCCAAGTTTACATGACCAGGACTGTGACATCTCAATGCCATATGTCGGAAGCACACAAGTTTGACGAGACTGAGTTTAGCAATCCTGATGACTACAAAGATCGCATCAGATTTCTAGGCAACAAGGACGGCCACTACCACATGAGCGTAGTCAAGGATTGGAGAAGCGCACCTGAAGACGACATAGACACCACGACGACGATCTACATCATCACTCTCCTCGGCGTTCACCTTTCGGACATTATACTCGACGGTCCTCCCGGCCGACGAGATCAAGCTCGACGCCTCGGAGGAAAGCAACCACGACCTACACATGGACCATATGCTATTCCACCAGAGAGGCCTGGACCACTTGCGGCTTCTACTGACGACGCCATCGAGAAGATCGAGATCAACGGCCGAGTCTTGTCACGGACGAAGCCCAACATGGAACTTCGGGAGCTACCCAAGAAGTTGACTCATGCCAACGAGAAAGATCGTGCCGGACTACTGCGTCTACTTCATGAACGCTTCTGGCACAATTCTCCATTGGGCGTGATGAAGTTGCTGCAGGCCATGCTCTTACCTCAGGCTATCGTTCTACAGGGCATGGAGATTTGCAAGGCTTGTGAAGTTTGTCAGCAATGGGCTAAACGACACATACGACCTCAGATTAAATCGTTTCTGGCTACAGTGTTCAACGAGATGGTACAGCACGATTTGTTCTTCCTCTGGGATGAAACGTTCATGATTCTCATTGATGAAGCCACTAAGTGGAAGACTGGAGACCACCTCATCAACAAGACGGGCCCAGTCTTGGTGAAGGCGCTCAACTACCTTTGGATACGCATTTGGGGCGCGATGCAGAACCTTCTCACTGATCAAGAAGGAGGTCTCATGGGACACGAAGCCACCAAGCTATGTGATCGACTCGAGATCAACAGACTGGCTATCGGCAAAGGAGGCGCTACCACCAAAGGACTTGTCGAAAGGCATCTAGCCCTTCTCAAGCTTTCTATGCTCAAGCTCAAGCAGTCAAGTCAAGCAGAAGGATTGGATCTCAGCTACTCCGACATCTGCTACGAGTGTTGCGCAGGCCACAACTGTACTCTCAACTATGGCGGCAGCACTCCACAGTTGGCCTTGACTGGACAATTACCGAGGATGATTGCGATCGACAGCGAGACCATCACATCCATGACGGGCGCCCTTGAGAAGCGTCCTGACTACATGGAGTCTATGTCACGCGCACGACTACTGGCTCGACAGGCTATCGTACAGTCAGTTATTCAAGATCGATTAGCTCAGGCATCCAAGATAACTCAGCACCAGCACGAGCCGGAGCTACTCGCACCGGGAACGATATGTGACATTTGGCGAGAACCAGCACGGAAAGACGAATGCGGATGGCGAGGACCAGCGGAAGTTATCAGCCTGGAGCGACGCGCAGGATCGGCAATAGTCAAGCACCAGGGCCAGCCGCTTATCATTCCTCTACGACATCTTCGGCGACACGTTCTTACCGAGCACTACATCACGGAGCTCAACAAGAAAAATGACATGAGCAGCTTCTACATACACTACGACCTGGTCAACCCTACGATGGTCAAGGCAGCGGCTACCTTTCTGGCGCCATATCAGATATATGCCGATGGAGTCTTGGTTCCTTCGGAGACGCTGTACGACCTGATGGATTTAGTTGATGGATCTACGCCCACTAAAATATATTGGTTTGGCTTGGTATGGCAGCAAGAGCAGTATCGATATGTTCCCAGTGAAGAAGCTTGCGATTCATGCAAGCCTTTGGCCCTGGGCATCAAGATATTCAGCGATACGTTCAAGCCCGTGCATGGTATCTTGTACGGCTCACAAGTACGTCGACTTCCTCAGATTGAATATGCACAGTGGGCTCTACTGCTACGCTGGCGACGAGAGGACCGAGCGGACTACAGTATTCGTGTACGACGTCCAGACATAGCTCTTCGCTATACAGCCGAGCAATCTACCAACTACAGCACAATGATGCTCTACAGCTATGACCATTGCGAGGATCTGGACAAGCATTTCGATCCACCAGAGCTGGACTGGAGTGGCATCAGCATGATTGACTGGCCTGGCGACCTCTCTGACATTGTTATTCCGGATCAGCAGCCACCGCGGGATCCACCAGCACCGCCAGCTCGGGCACCACCAGTTCCACCTTTTCGGTCAAATGCGATACCTCCACAAGAGCCTGGACGACCACCAGATCAGCCATCGCATGGTCGACCCTCGACGGCACCAGCTACGGCAGGCACACCGCAGCTCAACGTCCCAGGCGACCAGACCATCGACAGCGACGACGACATGGAGGAGATGCCAGCTCATGGACATGATCACGACCTACCTCCAGCACCTGGACCAGCACCTCGACGCATCTCCCGAGAGGCACCTATGGGTCCACCTTCGTTGCAGCCACAGCACCGAGACACACAAGGATCAGAGGACTCACTGCAGACTCCAACTACTCCTGACAAGCTACCTTACATTCCTCTCGACTTGGACAAGTCCAAGACAAGCACAGCGGAGAAGCAGAAAGCAGTTGATCCTCCAGACGCGACACAGTCACCACCTCAGAAGCGAGGAAGATCATCATCGCCATATCCATGGCCCTCTCCTTGGCAGCCTGAGTCACCACCACGACCACCGACGACTTCTACGGGGAGATATCAACCAGGAGCCTCTTCATCGTCAACGGACTTACCAGCGGCTACGCCGGGTACGTCCTCGACACAGCCAGCTCCAGCGGATTCGACAGAACCACCTATACTTCCCATTCGTAAAGATGAAGCACCAGCAGGAGAGCAACCCTCGACTTCTACTGACAGAACTCTGGAATACAGCGACGACCCAGATGGAGATACCAGATACCAGGAAATGATTGACCACCTTGACATCCCCAAGATTGTCAATCTATGCGAACGACTACCCGACGGAACTCATAAGCAAAGTATGGAAGCAATTTATGACGAGATGATCAGCAACCTTTCAGATGATTTTGATTTTGTATCTCCGACACTTTACTCCGACTCGGACCGGTACTTGTACTTCCATTACGATTTGCATGAGTCAATGGTTTTTCGAGTTGATGATTCGACGGCGAACCTCACAGACGACGAGATGAGACGTTTTGCGAAGTTGGTTATTGCAGGAGATCATAAGGAGTTGAAGGCTTTTGTTACTCATGATATTTTCGAACCTGTACTTCGAGACCACCTACCCGATAAGGCGAACATAGTTGATTGTACATGGGTGAGGAAATGGAAGGTCAAACACGTTGAAGTCAAATCACGACTATGCGCTCGAGGCTGTTTCGACCGACAGAAGAACTTTATTGAGAAGCACAGCTCGACAGCGACAAGATTGTCGCAGCGTTTGGTTTTGAGTTTAGGATGTTGTGAAGGTATTCTACATGTGAACGACGAGAATGACGGCGACGTCGACACCGAGAGCCTGGATATTTCAACGGCTTTTCTACAAGGACTTGGATACGACAACCTACGCGAGAAAGCAAGGAATCTCGGCTATGAGTATCGCGAAGACCGGACAGTCTACATCCTTCCTCCGGAGAATGTGTGGAGCCACTTTCGACGCATGCCGGAGGCATCTTCCAGTTGGAAAGTTGCAGACGAGGATCGACACAGATATGCCCTCAAATGCCTGAGAGCAATGTATGGTTTCACAGACGCACCATTGATGTTTCAGTTGGCCTTGTTGGAGTTTCTCAAAGATAAGACAGGAGCTAAATCATCGGTTTTCGACGACAACTATCTTTACTGGGGCATCGAGTACAAGGGCAACGAGGTGATCGTCTTAGTCATGACAGTTCATGTGGACGACTTACAGATTACTGGCAGCAGATTCTATCGCGATTGGATACACAAGAAGTTGGAATCCAGATTCGGCAAGCTCAAGAGGCAGACGATGCCATATACACATGCTGGCCTACAGCTCGAACGAATTGCACCGACGTGTATACGCATTCATCAAGATCAGTTCACATCATGTCTTTCGCCATGTGTTATACCAAAAGAGCGAGTTGATGTACCAGATGCACCCTGCACGGCAGCAGAACACAAGACGTTCAGATCTCTTACTTGTGGAGCACTCTGGGCATGCCAGACACGACTGGAGGAACTATTCAACGTTGTCTCTCTACAGACCAAGCTACAGAGCCCGACCATCAAGGACCTCCTGGCGATCAACGCAGTGATCAAGAGACTCAAGAAAAATCCCGAGAAGTTTGGCATCTACTACAGGAAGCTCAAGGCACCACTACGGATCTCTTGTATTACGGACGCCTCTTCAGCCAACAAGAACAGCAATTTCGCCACAGAAGGAGTCACGATAGGTCTTCAAGAAGACCGACTACATTTTCCTCTATGTGATCGACAAGATTATCTGCAGGACAATCTGATCAATCGGCTCAGTGGGAAGCTACATGCACTGGTGGTCACTTCGACCAAGTCTAAGAGAGTCTCACACAGCACGTCCCATGCGGAAACGTTGGCAGCAGCACGAGGAGTTCCCATGGCACAGATTATCGGCATGAGGCTCACAGAACCGGAGATTAACATTCTATGCGGACCTCAGAAGCCACTACAGCTTCAAGAACGACTCGACCGAGGGCAGTTGAGTTTACCAGTGGACGCTTTCATTGATTGCATGGACCTGTGGGAGTTATGTTGCGGACTTCGAGGAACACCACAGGACAAGTCACAGCGTTTGGGTATTCTGTCGCTTCGAGAAGAGCGACGAACCCTGAGACTACGACGACTTTATCATGTACGTACCAAGTGGATGGTTTCAGATATGTTGACAAAGTTCGTGGGAGCAGATTCCAAGTCACTCTTGGAGCTGATCACCACCGGTTGTTGGACGATCGCAGGCACACTTCGAGTCAGGCAAGGATTTGGACTAGACAGTACCAAGTCCAACACGACAAGACTATGATATTTCAGTTCAGGATTTTCATCAGAATCTGGAGTATGATCTGGAGTTTGGTTATATGTGAGATGTTATATGAGCAGCTCCACATGTATAGCATTGATCGACTTCAATTGTGGAGCTAGTATTTTATGTTCACCGCTATCGGCTACCACTTCGAGATGGATTATCATCAGATGTATTTCAATGGATTTATATTTGGTGGCCGTGGTGGATATGATAACCCTGTTATGGCTTACTTAGGACTGCTGTCCTACTCTTCTCCCTTCTCACTCCTTCCTAGGGCCGCTACCGAGCTCCAGTAAAATCGACTGGGTTTTAATTTTTATAAGATCCAACATGTCCTAAAGAAAATAGGACCAGAGTTGAGATTATTATGTCTAGGACCTGTTAGGCATGTTGTCTCATACGCTAGAAGCAGTACCGTACTGTAACGTACTGGCTCAAGTCAAAGCAGTAAAAGATTATCATCTTTATTGCCATTAGTTCATATAGCTTTCGCTTAAAGAACTTAATATTTCCAGTTCAGGATTTTCATCAGAATCTGGAGTCCTGCCCCCCCCCCCCCCGGCGCGCTCCGAATCTCCCTGGGCACCGCCGCCAAGCGGGCGCATTCGCCAGTCAAACTCATAACGGATGGCTTGGTTTGGCATTGTGAACAGACCAATATACATTCATATTTTCGCCCGGCGACCTGGCCGACCATGAGGAGACAGCTCGCGCGGCAGAACCTTTTAGGAGTTGGAAATCGATGATCAAGCGAGCGCATTTACGCGCGCGTGCAAGGCATGTTGACAGCGTCAAACAGCAGCAGCTGCGCGCAGACCTCCTCGGCGCTACCAGAGGGGCCGGCATCGGTGACCGCGCGTTCCTCCGATCCCCCCCCCCCGCGCCTGGCCCCTTCGGCATTTCCACGCTGGGACTGCGAAAGTGGCCCGCCCAAGCGCCTAGGCCTCCGAGGTGCTCACCGACAGCTCGTATCCAGCGGAACGTTTTGCTTGGAGGACCAAACAGACGAGGCTGATTCCAAGGTTCTGCAGTGTTCCAGTTACTGTCCTGAGGCCAGTGAACCCCATGTCCCCCCCCGTTTAGGGCCGTCGGCCCCTCTCTGTTCGCGCCCGAGATTTCCGGTCAGGGGGCGCAGGCGCGCTTGCCGTGGATCTCGGGAGTCGCGGGGGCCGCGCAGCAGCGCCGCGCAGCAGCCCAGTATACATGCACACAGCGCAGTATACACGTACCCGCGCAGCAGCGCAGTATACATGTACCCATGCTTCTAGGCCACCGACAAGACGTGCATAATGGATTCGCCAGAGGTGCCAGGATCATTCGCGCTGCCAACGCGACCGAAGACAGGCACAGGCACTCGCATTTGGATGCTTGGTTTTGAGTTGTTCGGTTCGCTCCTACTGAGAGGGCGCGTGACAAGCGCGTTCGTATACATTGCTTTAGACCGTGATCCTCATTGCCCGCTGACCCGGAGGGAGCCAGTAGAGCTGTGAGATGTTTCAGGGAATTTTGAGGAGCCCACATCGAGCAGCAATGATGTCCTCTGACAGCGATCTGCGCGGAGAGTCGATGTCGCCATGATGGCAAGCCGCGCGCAATGGCACGCCAGCTATCATCGTATGCCCCCGGCCCCCCGTCCAACTGCAGATTCCGCTCCCGTTCCATCATGGACGTTACCTTCGCTTGCTCTGGTGACCATCCTGCACGGCAAAGCCACGCGTGCCCACGCACAGTTGTTGCAGCCCGACGTATGCACCTTCGGTGCAAGTTCCCGCCAATTCGTTTCGCATGGCCGTCATCAGTTTTCAATATTTCTCAGCAGACGTTCGCAACCTCATGGGAGATGGAAATGCAGGCATACAACGCGGCACATCGAGGCAGGTGTTCGCCATGCCCCCCACCTCCTCGCTTCAACGCTTTAGGTTCGGACTCTCTGGCGGATGCGGCCGTGGCCCACTGTCAAGCCTTGCAGTGTGTCCGTTCCCTTCGCGCATCCGCCGTCATGTCGCTCCTATTTCTTAGCGGTCGGGCGGGATCAAAGGTACAGTTCGGGAGAGGGGCCATGATTGTTTTTTTGTGCCTCCGCCCTTGCGCCCACCCCCGCGCCCGTTTCGCGGGCGAACGCTCCGCCTTCAAGTTCGAGGCTCGGTGCGTGATCCAAGACAATGCGGCCCGCCTTCGCTGGGAGTGAGTATTGCTAGTCGTAGTAGGAGCAGGATGATGAGGAGGAGGGAGGAAGAGGAGCAAAAGGAGCAGGAGGAGGAGGAGGAGGAGCAGGAAACGGGAGGAGAAAGAGGGGGGCGAAGTGGAGGAGGAGGAGGAGGAGGAGCAAGAGGAGGAGGAGGAGAAGGAGGAGGAGGGGGTCCAGCGCCGAATCAAGAAGTCCGCGCGGGGTTCCGAATGTTCATATTGATGCCGTTGCTGTCTTTTTTCAGGACCTCACGGACGCGCGCAAGATGGCCGCCAGCTTGCCGTCTTGGGAGGCCCCGACGTTCAGGGGCTCAGCCGACGCGGCGGCCGCAAAGGCCGCAGGCGCGGCGGATGCATAACATGGAACCTGCGCAGGCAGGCGCTGTCCCATCGGAGGCTCAGGTGGGCACCAACGTCAAGGTTCGGCGGCCGAAAACGCACACATACCGCCACCCTTCAACAATTTCCCTTGTTTTGACCTCGTGGGGGGCCTTCGTCGCCACCGTTGTATTCTTTTCGAAGTTCTGGACGGGGGACAGCGGTGTTTTTTCCCCCACCCGATAGGTTGGAGGTGTTAGATTTCAAGAACAGACCCCCCGGCCAACCCCACCCGTACCGCGGCCGCCAGACCCCAAGTTGTCCCGAGAGTCCCCGAAAATGTTTGGGACTCCTGCCTCGCGCCCTCGACAAACACGACTGCAGACCGCGGCCGCCAGACCCCAAGTTGTCCCGAGAGTCCCCGGTAGTCCCTGGGACTCCCGCCTCGCGCCCTCGACAAACATGACATAGCATACCATTGCAATTCATGACACGCTACAGCATAGTACAACATCACAAACCATATCATTGCAGAACATTGCAGCACAGAACATGGCATAACATACCATGGCATAACATCACATTATATGCCTTATCATGTCATGTCACGATAGCACAATCTAGTAGACAGAGCACGACATAACATTACATAGCATGCCAGCACATGGCATCACCATACATCATACCATATCATATCATGCACCACATAGTAAACATACTACGACATAACATAACAGAGCATGACATATCATGACAAACCAATGTAGATCATAAAATAACAAATCACAACATAACGTCACATGACAAACCAGAGCAGAACGTCACATAACAGATCACCACAGAGCATCCGATAACAAAACAAGCCAGATCACACGATGACATCACATAACAAACGAAAACCAGGCCAAACCCCCAGTTGTCCCGAGAATCCCCGAGTCCTTGCCGCCGCCCCGCTGCGGGCGGCCTCCTCGCCTGCGCTCCTCAGTCTAAGGATGGGAGGGGGGAAGAAGGATGAGGGGAAGGAGGCATGGGGCAGGAGGAGGAGGACAGGGGCTCAAGGTTGCGGTGGAGATCGTTCGAAGCAAATCATGTTCTTGGTTTCCCCAGAACGATCGGCGGTTTTTTATCCACCGAGGGTAGCTCATCCCGATTTCGGTGAAGTTGGTAATCCTCCGGGTTCCAAGGTTGCCGAAAGATATATCCAGAGTCGCCCTCCCGCGGCGGACCCCCCCCCGCCTGTTTGGGCGTTGGTGCCCATCTCCACGCCTTCGTCCCTGACCGTGGAACGCAGCACTGCAGGGCGACATGTGTTGGGGGTCCGTGCAGATGCTTCGGCTCGGTGTCGAGCCCCCGTGGCGGCGCCTCCAGCGCCGCCCCCTGGCGCGCCCCGGGCGCCGGGGCGGGGGGTCCAGCGCCGATCCCAGAAGTCCGCGCGGGCGAGGAATCCTGCCCGTGCCGCCCCCCCGGCTCCCCCAGCAGGGCACGCCCGGCCACAGACGCTGGAGGCGAGGGGGCGCCTTTGGCGCGGCCCCTTCGGGCTCGAGCTCGCAGTGCTCGCCCTCGCTCGCCGCTCGTGCCGTGGTGTCCCCCCTCCCGCCCCGCCCCGGCGGCTTCGAGACGGGGGCCTCCGTGGGCTCGCCAGGTTCCGCGGGCGGGGCCCCGCCTCGAAGGGCGTCGGCGGCTGGACCGGGGAGGCGCCGGCCCGTCGTGAAGTGCGCCTTGCCGCGCAGGTTTTAAGTCCGGCCTGTCCCTCTACAGGAGGAAAATTCCAAAGAAGTCAAGCACTGATCTGAAATATGTTTGAGTATCTTCATGTCTGTCGCCCGAACGCCGCCTGTAGGAGGGCATGCCCGACCGAAGTGCGGGTTCCCTTGCGATCCGATCAATCCGATCCGATGTCGATGCCGTCCGGCCCGATGCGATTTGATTCCAGAAGGTCCGGCGATGCGAAGCGGCCCCGTGATTGCATGGCGATGTTGCGCATCGTGGAGCAGCCGATCCGATTCGATTTCGATTCCGTGCCGATGCAGCCCGATCCGATTCAGATTTCGGGTCGGTCCGATTTTCGGGCGGGGCTAGAACGAGGACAAGCCCGTTCCAGAGCGTTCTGGAACGCTCTGGAACGGATAGGCACCTGTCGAGCGGCATCCGGGCGCCGTTTGGGGCCCTTCGAGTTGTGTTGGGAGGCAGCGATAACAACCGTAGAAATATACCAACGACCATAGTGATAACAACGACAATGATAACATTGATAACAATGATCACAACGATCACACCAATCACAACGATCACAACGGTCACAACGACAACGACGATCTCTATGATCATCACGACAACGATAACAACGATGACAGTGATATTGGATACCACGATGGCATCGTTAGCATTATCGTTGTTATCGTTGTTCTGGCTATCGTTGGTTTAGTTGTCATCGATGTTATCTTGGTGATTGCCGTCGTTTAGCCTTGCTGTCGACCTCTTCTCTGGGGCCGTCGCAGGGCTCTCGTGGGGCCTCCTTGGGGGCAGCTTTGGAGGTCTACCGCGGCCCTCTTCGGCCCGTTCGGCGAGCTGCTGGGCCGTCTTGGTCATGTCGTGGACTGTGTTCGCCGGCTACTCTCAGGAGGGAACAAAAACACACACAGGCACAAAAATCGACAATTCCCTAGAAATTCTGGGAAAATATGGGAATTGGGGGGGAAGACAACAAATCCGACAATATGGTTAAACTATGGGGAATCGAATCCTGTTATTTGTGTTCATTTACTTGTGTGTCCCAGGGCCCCTTCATACTCGTCGCCTTGGGCCTCCTTGGGACACTCGATGTGCGGTCTTTCTGTAATGGTGGGGCACCCTTGGAATCGTTTTGAAGCAGATGAGGCCGTCTCAGGACCACCTTTTGGGACGACGTGCCTGGAGGCCAGAGCGCGTGACATGACCTGCGGTAAGCCTTACGTAGCTAGTAACAAACAACGATGACAGGGCAGAGGGGGGGGGGGGGGGGGGAAAATGTGCTCTCGTGGGACCATCTCGGGGGCCCAGCGGGGCCCTCTCGGGCTGCTTGGGCCCTTCTTGGGCCGTCCAATGCCCCTCTTGGGTTTTTTCGGCGCGGTCTGGCGTCCTCCTTGGCTTCCAGCTGACGGCGCTGACCAGCTGTTGGACCGTCTTGGCTGCATTTTGGGGGCCGTGTGGGGTCTGTACAAGCACGTCTGACTTCTCCTCCCCGCCCGTGTCAATCATCTTCTCTTGTTGTTCGCGCGTGTGCGCAACCTATTCGTCATCGTCGGAACCATGCCCACCCCCACGGGCAGTGGAAGTTGGCTTTCCCAGCGAACCCCTTTAGGTGGGGACGAGCGCGCCGAAACCCGGAGGAGACGGTACCCATTTCCACCAAGGGGGTAGATTGCCCAGCGAGGTGGTTCGGATACAATCCCTGGAACACAAATTTTGCCTTTGCCCTGGTTCGGTATCCGGCTTAATCCCGCTTGACCCGGCTCAATCTCGCTTAATCCGCGGACTAGCCCGGCGCAGCAGCCCCCCGATGGGGCTCAACCCTCAACCTTTCCGACGAGGACCTCCCAGTAGTTGTTTCCCAACTAGAGTCGCGCGTTCGCACAGTGTGTGTTTCCCCCGTACAGCCTTCTCGATCGCAACCAGCGCCCGTGTTGGCCCTCTCGTGTCGCTTCCCGCGTCGTGTTGCGATGGGCGTCGGTGGGCAAGCTCACGTTGTCCTTGGCATCCTTCGGGCGGGTGTTTTGTTTTCCCCCTCGGCAAGGACCATCGAGGGGCACTCTGTCAGAGGAGAAGGTACCCATACCACTACCCCCGCCTCGTTTTCCCCATTTTGGGCCTTCCGGGAGGCCCTCGTCGCCACCGCTGGATTCGCCTCGACATTTTGGTCAGAACGCACCCCGGAAAAGGTCCAGGGAGTAGCGATATCAGTACCTTTTGGTTTCCCCGCGTTGGGCCACCTTGCGAGAAAAAGAGGCTCGCACAACACCGAACAAAGGCACGGGGCAGGGGCACCCGAGCGATGGCAGGTTGGGGCTGACACGCTTTCTGCTCAGTAGCACATAATGGGAGCCTCGTATACTCTTTGAATTCCGTCGTTAGCGTCGATTCGCGTCGATTAGCGTCTGGGCGTTGATGAGTATCGCCGATTTTGCGTCAGCTAGGGTTGATCAGCGTCGATCCAGCGTCGAGTAGCATCGATTTAGCGTCGGTTGGCGTCGATTCGCAAGAGCCAACAAGATGGCATGGGAGGCTCCTGTTAAATGCCACCGAACGTTCTGAGGAGCATCGGTTCTCTCACACCCTGGGGCATCATCAAGACAGCTGCGGACTTCACGTCGGGCCTGTGTGTAGAAGGGTGGGGGGGCGGTGTCTCACGCTGATTAGATCCCGCGCCTAGCTCCTCGCTTCGCTATTTCTTATGCCTCGTTCTACGATTCCTCCCACTCCTCTTCCTCCTCCTCCTCCTCCTCCTCCTCCTCCTCCTCCTCCTCCCTCTCCCTCCTCCATTCATTATTCCTTATAAATAATTTCCCCCTGTCGCACCCCGAGGCTGGTTTTTAGGTCGGACCAGGCGTTCCGCCAGCGACTTCCTCACCATTTATGACCCTGAAGCGTAAGCCCGGAGGGCGGGTCATTTTCAAATTGTGGCTCTCGCCTGAGCGCCGCGCACATTCGCTTAAAACATGCCCGAGGGTTTCACGGATTGTGGGTGGGCCGTTTTCAGAATGTGGATCTTGTTTTAGCGCCGCGCATATTCATTCCCCAATCAGTGCTTGCACTTAATGGGGTCCTCGCGGAAGTTGAAGGATTTGGCGAAATTTTCCCGCCGATTTGGTCGCACGCTGGGTTCCCGGTTGCAGTTCCCGAGTTCCCGGTTCCGTCTTCCGGGCCGATTTCGGAGGGCGGCGAGGTTCTCCGGTTCCCGATTCCCCGGTCTCACCATCGATCTCATTACGTGCTTCTCTATCGATCTCATCATCGATCTCTCAATCGATCTTATTGTCGATCTCACAAGCGATCTCGCAAGCGATCTCCTTAGAGATCGCATTCGCGATCTCGCGATCGATCTCACTATCGATCTCATTGAATCGATTTCTCTCTCGGTCTCACGGTCGACCTTACAATCGTCCTCGCCATCGATCTCATTATCGATCTCACAGTCGACCTCAAGACCCATAGTTTTAATTCCCAAATCATCCATTGATTTGGGTCTTCTCAGGTGTAATTGTAAGCATGTGCAATAGTTTCACATATTCAGGGCGGGGCGTTTTCCAAATGTGGCTCCCGCCTTAGCGCCGCGCACAGTCGCTTTCATCATGTCGAAGAGTAGGGCGGGCCGTTTTCAAAATGTGGGTCTCACATCAGCGCCGCGCATTTTTTAACACATGCAAGAGTTTCACGGATTGAGAGCGGGCCATTTTCATAATGTGGTTGTCGTTTTAAGAGTTTTAATCGTCCGAAGAAGTTGCAAGAATTTCACGGACTGAGGGCGGTTCTTGTTTCCAAAATGTGGTTATCGCCACAGCGCCGTGCGGATTCTTTGTTGAACGCTACAAGAGCTTCACGGGCCCGTGGTCGACGTGCAGAAGTTGTTTTGGAGATGTGTTGGAGAGATTCCGGATTATGAGGGTGCAACAGTTATGTTGATTCGCGGTATTGAAAGTACCAGGAATGGCAGTATGGCACGATTCAGGATCGTCAAGACGCAACAGTCACGTGGATCCCTGGCGTGGTCTTCAAACGGTTGTCTTCCAGCGAAGCAGTTCTCTCAGTTGAAAAAATGTTGTAGGGGTTTATGGGGAGGGAATTTGGAGGGAGGGTTTATTCCAAGCTCTTGGATCTACAGTGGTTCTCCACCTCCTCCTCCTTCCGGTCTTCCTCCTCCCCCCCTTCCCATCCTCTTCCCCGTCCTCATCTTCTTCCTCCTCATCCGCTTCTGCCCCCTCATCCTCCACACTTCCAGTACGGAGCAGGCTGATGGGCGGAGGAGGCAGGGGGGTAGCGGGTGTGCCAGGCCAGAGTTTTGCATACCCGCCGCTTGGTGAGACGACCATCCGAGGACCCGAGGAGGCGGTTGATATCTGTGTAGACCTGGTATGTTTGTATGTATAACTCCGTTCCCTGGGCAATAAAGAGTACGCCCCCCTTTGAACCCCTGAGTGGTTATTCTCCCGGGGTCAGACAGATTTGATTGCGGAGAGGAGCCGCGAGGCCGATCTTGATTATCGCGGGGGAAAGTGGCACATCGAATTTGTTATGTTCTTATGTTGACTCGCAGTGAAATCAAAAACGCTACGCATGGAACACATCTTCAAACACCAGAACCAAAGGGTGCCGAGCTTGCATGGGCGAATGGTTCGAGATGGTACGCAAGAGAGGTTTCTTGGCCAGGAACGCCAAGGACCTCTCTTGCGCAGGCCACCTTCAGATGTGAGACCCGGTGACACCAAGGACAGTTCTGTGTCAGGATCTAGTTACACGAGCGCCCAGGATCATCATTGTCGGTCCACATCATCATCATCATCATCATCATCATCATCATCATCATCATCATCATCATCATCATCATCATCTTCATCTTCATCTTCATCTTCATCTTCATCTTCATCACCATCATCGTCCGCCTAAAAAACTTTAGTATCCCCCCCGACCCCGAACTTCGTTATCCCCAGGGCAGGGTCTGGGGTTATGCACATATCTGTGGACATAGATTTGTCGAGGCGCCCACACATACACGTACGTACGTAGCTGCATCTATTTTTATATATTTACACACATAAATACACATAGTGCCACCTGTGTATACACAGAGAAACTATATCAAAGTGTCCAGCCTTGGATGTGGCATGGCCGCGGCATGCTTCTCTTTCCCTTCGAGCACAGACCTGCAGCGCCGTGCGGTCCGTTAGCGGCCTTCGACCCCTGGAGCTCTCGACCCCAGCCCCCAAGGGGCCGGAGTGTGGTGCGATGCTTGTTCTGGCGGCCCTTTGGGCCGGCAGGGGGTAGGGCAAAGGCCACCGGGTGCCTTAGAATCGCCTACACGTAAGAGTGGCCCTTCGCCGGAGTGACCTTCTTGTGCTGGCCCAGAGGGGGATCGGGTGATTTTTTTTGTGGAGTGAGGTGGACCTCGCGTCGGCACCCGCATCGCGCGATTTCGCTCGCATCTGAGCGCGCTAGGTTTGGGCCCACCCTTTGCAATCGACAGCAACACATTCGCGTCGTACCCTATAGCTTGCATGGGTTACCCGAGGGGGAGCCAGTCAACCAGACGGCGCGATTTCTGGCCCAGGACCAGTCCCGAATCCAAGCCGACATCCCAAAACCTCTGGCCTGAATCGATTCGTTTTTTGTTTTGAATGTCTTTGCATATGATTGAATACGTTTTTCGATCCACTGGGGATATAACTATTCGATTATAAGTTCTCCAAACATATTCATACATGTTCCAGGATCTCGGATGGGGCCAGTTTTGGGCATGACGCCGGGCCTGGTCAGACGTCATCGCGATGCAGCCCAGCAGTGTCAGACCTCATCGCGGTGGATCCCGGCAGCGTCTGTTTGCGCAGCGCCTTCGAAGTGCCACTCGTGGCGCTCGAATTTAAGCGGCGGAATTTCGCGGTCGCCTGGTGACACGAAAAAATAATTTGAGTGGCGCCCCGTCGATCGTTGATGCGGTGCGGCAGCGCTGGCTTGCGCGATTGCGTTGGGCCCACACTGGCGCCCCTGAATCCGCGCGCCAATGATCACTCTGGCCGAGGGTCACCGACGACCCCCCTCCTTCCCACCCGTGGCCGCGAGGTGTGCCGGGGTTCGTGGTTTCCTCTTCCTCTTCCTCATCCTCCTTTTCCTCCTCTTCGTGCGCCAGGGAGGAACGCCCAGCGCAGATCCAAGACATCCGCGTGGACCTCCAAAAACTTATGTTCATGCAATTGTTTCCACTGGGAAATTGAACATCCCAGGGCGAGGGGATATTTCCGGCGGGAGAGGGGTTGAAGGGCCTGCTTCCCACCACCACCATAAGTTGGAGGGGGAGGTGGAGGTGGAGGAGGAGGATGAGGAACAGGAAGACGAATATAATGAGGAGGAGGAGGAGGAGGAGGAGGAGGAGGAGGTGATGGTGGTGAAAAACAGGCCCATCAGGGGGCGGTGGTGGAAAAACAGGCCTCTCTAACTTATGGTGCTGGTGGTGGGAAACAGGCCCATCAGGGGGAGCAGCAGATCCAAATATCCTCCTCCTTGGAAGGGAGACTTCCACGGCGGCCCCGCTCCCCGCACGGCCGCAGGCGGCCGCCGACAAGGTCCGAAGGTTGCGCGAGGAGGAGGAGCCGGCCGCCTCGCGGCCCCTCCCCGCAAGCCCCCCGCCGCGTCGTCGTCGGTCGGCCTCGGTCGTCGTCGGCCGTCGTCGGCCGCCCACGTCGGCGGTCGCAGGGCTCCTTTCGACTCCTCCTGCGGGATTCGATTTCGGCTTCCGATTCCGATCCGCTTCGGCTTCGGATTCCGACGTGGGATCCGCTTTGTACCTGGAGGCCCACTGACTTGCCGATTCCCGCCGATTCGACTGTTCCCGGCTCGGCTGGCGAGTTCCGCCGATCCGATTCGTTTCGGTCGCCGACCCGACTGATCGATTCGATTGTGGGGTCGCCTGCGGTCGTCGACGTCGTCGTCGGCCGTCGACGGCGGTCGTCGACGGTCGTTGTCGGCCGGCTCACAGGTCGTCCCCAGGAGCACGGAGGCCAGCGCGCGTCGCGTAATGCGTTTCGGGCTGGGATGGCGCCCTTCTCTCTGGGGCGGCGGCGTCGTGCGGGCACGCAGCAGAGGAACCGCACACCGCGGCGCGCGGTGCGCGACGCTGGGCAAGCCGGTGTATGGTTTGGGTCGTCGTCGCAGTCGTCGTCGAGTTAGAATTGAGTCGGGCGTGTCCCTGTGCAGGGCAAATGTGCAGAAATAGTGAAAAATGATTCCGGCAAAGCAACCTGACAGCGATGTGTAGGAGCATACCTGGAAGCATTCCCCTTAAGATTCAGATGAGAAGCCAGTTGTAGAATTCTGCTGTTCTCGCAGTCGTAGTCGCATTCGCGATGACAGTCGCAGTGGCAACGGCAGTCGCAGTCACAGCCTCAGCCTCAGCCTGCCTCAGCCTCAGCCTCAGCCTGCCTCAGCCAGCCTCCTCAGCCTCAGCCTCAGCCTTCAGCCTCAGCCTCAGTCTGCCTTCAGCCTCGGCCTCAGCCTCCGCCTGCCTCAGCCTCAGCCTGCATCAGCCTCAGCCTCAGCCTCAGCCTGCCTCAGCATCAGCCTGCCTCAGCCTCAGCCTCAGCCTGCCTCAGCCTCAGCCTCAGCCTGCTTCAGCCTCAGCCTCAGTCTGCCTTCAGCCTCGGCCTCAGCCTCAGCCTGCCTCAGCCTCAGCCTGCCTCAGCCTCAGCCTCAGCCTCAGCCTCAGCCTCAGCCTCAGCCTGCAGCCTCAGTCTGCCTTCAGCCTCGGCCTCAGCCTCAGCCTGCCTCAGCCTCAGCCTGCATCAGCCTCAGCCTCAGCCTCAGCCTGCCTCAGCCTCAGCCTGCCTCAGCCTCAGCCTCAGCCTGCAGCCTCAGCCTCAGCCTCAGCCTCAGCCTCAGCCTCAGCCTCAGCCTCAGCCTCAGCCTCAGCCTCAGCCTTCAGCCTGCCTCAGCCTCAGCCTGCAGCCTCAGCCTCAGCCTCAGCCTCAGCCTCAGCCTCAGTCAGCCTCAGCCTCAGCCTGCAGCCTCAGCCTCAGCCTCAGCCTCAGCCTCAGCCTGCCTCAGCATCAGCCTGCCTCAGCCTCAGCCTCAGCCTGCCTCAGCCTCAGCCTCAGCCTGCTCAGCCTCAGCCTCAGTCTGCCTTCAGCCTCGGCCTCAGCCTCAGCCTGCCTCAGCCTCAGCCTGCATCAGCCTCAGCCTCAGCATCAGCCTGCCTCAGCATTCAAAATGTTGCCCGGGAATGGAGTTCTGGGAACTAGCCTGCCTCAGCATCAGCCTGCCTCAGCCTCAGCCTCAGCCTGCCTCAGCCTCAGCCTCAGCCTCAGCCTGCTTCAGCTTCAGCCTCAGTCTGCCTTCAGCCTCGGCCTCAGCCTCAGCCTGCCTCAGCCTCAGCCTGCATCAGCCTCAGCCTCAGCCTCAGCCTGCCTCAGCATCAGCCTGCCTCAGCCTCAGCCTCAGCCTGCCTCAGCCTCAGCCTCGTATTCAGTCTGCCTTAAGCCTCGGCCTCAGCCTCAGCCTGCCCCAGCCTCAGCATCAGCCTGCCTTCAGCATTCAAAATGTGGCCCGGGAATGGAGTTCTGGGAACTCGAAGAACACGAAGTGGCGTACAGTTGGCTCCGAGCATTCAAAATCATGCCCAGGAATGGAGTTCTGGAAATTCGAAGACCACGAAGTGGCCTACAGTTGGCTCCGGGCATTCAAAATCATGCCCAGGAATGGAATTCTGGGAACTCGAAGACCACGAAGTGGCCTACAGTCGGCTCCGAGCATTCAAAATCATGCCCAGGAATGGAGTTCTGGGAATTCGAAGACCACGAAGTGGCCTACAGTTGGCTCCGGGCATTCAAAATCATGCCCAGGAATGGAGTTCTGGGACCTCGAAGACCACGAAGTGTGTAACTGTTTGCTTAAAACGACTTCCGCGGGTTCTCCCCGGCACCCGCCCAGACCCCCTGGGGAGTCAAGATGCTCTCTTTTGACACTACTATAAACCTATCAGTCTTCGCTGTTAGGTAAATGGTCTGGGGACGATGTTTTGAATATCGTTATGTTATTTTGTGGTAGTTTGCTATTCTCTTTAATTTTGTCGTCCAAGATCGGCCTGTAGGGGGACATGCCCGACCCAAAGTTAGAATTCGTGATTGACTGTTCCTCCTTATCCTCCTCCTCCTCTTCCATCTCCTGCGCTCTCCGCGTCCCTGTGTGTGTGTGTGTGTGCCGTAGCCATTTTGGCTCAAGTGAGCCCGCGCTTCGGGAGGCCCTCGCAGCGCGCAGCGCGGGCGCGTGGCGCGCCAGAGGCCGATGTCCGCCAGTGCTGGTGGCGGCAAGCCGTGGGCGGCGGCTTTCGCCAGGTCGCTGGCCCGGCGCCTGCGGCGAGAGCGGCAGGCAGAGGGGGGCTGGTCTCGTGCGGCCGCGTTGTCACGCCGCACGAAGGCGCTCAGGGCCTCGCTCGACGTCCACTGGCGCCTTGGTGACGCCGTCGGCTGCTACCTCCCCACGCTCGGCGAGGAGGTGGCGGCCGCGCGGCTGATCGGTTGCGACCCTGCCCTCATCGCCGAGGCGGACGCGGCGCTGGTGGAGGGCAACTCCGCACGCCACGCGCCGCCGCCTGGCGCGGCGAGAGGGCTTCTCAAGATGCCTGACGGGCTGGTGGTTCGGGCGCTCGAGCGCCTGCTGGAGGATGCTGCGCCGCCCCTCCGCCGCGACGCCGAGCCGTTCGTCCCAGCCAGTGTCAGGCTGGCCTCCGCGTTGCGGTGCGAGCTCGGCGTGGAGCAGGTCGCGTGCAACCCCAGCGTCGTCCCGCCTGTGCAGGGCCACTCCCGCGTCGTGGTGGACGTGGAGCCCCTTCGCGATGCGGCTGGTGCGGACGACGACTCTGTGTCAGAGGATTCGCAGTTGGTGGTCAACATCGGCATGTCGGCTGAGGATGTGGTGGACCCACTCGTCGCGTGCAGTGCCAAGCCGCTGGAGGAGGTTCGGGAAGATCCCGACGTGCAGGCCTCCAGCGAAGTCAGCAGCGTGGACTCTCCTGGAGGTGATGAGCACAGCAATGGTGTCCAAGGTGGTGGAGACCTTGGCGTGGTGCTCTCCGACGGTGAGCCTGCTGACGACCCTGGCGGAGGTCCTCATGATAGTGATTGCGTTGCCCTCGGCTCCGAGGGCGAGTCTGCTGATGAGCGTGGCGGACATGATGTTGAAGATGGTGTGGCCCTCGGACACGGTTGCGGTGATGCTGATGGTGCTGTCATCCCGATCGCGCTCTTGCAGTTCCTGGTTCAGCAGCAGGACGCTGGCGCCGTGGTCCACGAGGGCGACCTCATCGTGCGGCACCTCGAGCAGATCGAGGACAGCATCCAGTCCGAGGCCCACCTCATGGAGTGTGAGACGGAGGTACAGTAGGCCATCGACAAGATGATCGACCGGGGCCTCGTCTCCGTCATGAGGCCGTCGCTCGGCCTGTCGCGCGCGAGCCGCCTGCTCGCTGCTAGCCGTCCTGCGGTCGTGCGTTCGTGGCCGAGCTCGGGGCATCCTGGGGATGGCGTAAGTGGCGGATCCTCGTGAGGTCCCAAGCGCCACCCCCCAGGAGCTCCAAAAAGCGGCGCCGAGGGTGGCGAAAATGACGGATCCTCGTGAGGTCCGAGCGCCACCCCGTCGGCGCCGCCCGTCTTAGTTTTGGCGCTGTGCACTTTCCCTTCGGGTCTTTCCATTCCATTCCGCGTCCCTGTGCACAACAGGTGCGCTTCCCCAGCCGCTTTGCCCGGAGAGTTGCCACTGTGCACCTCCTCTCTGCCCGCGCGTCTCTACGGATTTTTGGCTTCGTTCGTGCGTGCGTGCGTGCGTCGTCGTCCGGTGGTCGAAGCAGGCCTGCTTACCGGGCGAGCTGAGGCGGGCCACACCGCTTTGCCGCTGTTTCCTGGAGATGTGGAGGCAGTATACTGCCCCCACGTCTCCAGGAAGCAGCGGCAAAGCGACCGGCAATCTTGAGTGACGGTTCCGTGCAGCCATCGTCGCCCGACTCGTCGTAGTCGGCCCCATGGGTCGTCGCCGTCGCCAGACGTCCAGAGTCTCGAGGAGACATGTGCCCCAGGCTCTGCGCCAATCTCGCCATGAGAGGCCGTTGCGGGGCACCGCTGGTCGTCGACCTTCGGCTCGGATATTGAAAGTGTGTCCCGAGGAAGGGGTCCTCAGAGGTCTAGGTGCCGGTGAGTTGAACAAATCGAGTTGCGGGAGGTCCGGGTCGTCGTCGTCGTCGTCGTTCGTCGTTGGCGTCGGCGGTCGTCCGTCGTCGTCTTTCTTCGTCGCTCTGTGTTGGCGGGCGTCCGTCGTCGTCGACGTCAACGTCGACGTCGACGTCGTCGTCGCCGACGTAGTCGTAGTCGTAGTCGTCGTCGTAGTCGTAGTTGTCGCCCCCGCTGGTCAGTTGCATGTCCTCCTCATCCGCGTCCTCGTCCACTTTGGAATGCCCGCAGACCAGACATGGCAGCAAGGATGCAGTGCCGCAGCAAGTCTGGTTTGCCATCCCCAGAACGCTCAGCCCCTCGAGTCGGACACCGCCGTGCACTCCCCCCACCGGCCTCCCACGCCCCACGCCAACCAGTCGCCGCTCGCCTTTCCGGCCTTCGTTCCGTGCGTTGGTGTTGTTTTCAGGAATCTAGGGCTTCCATTGTGCTAACCCACGGCGCAGTACAGTCGGCCTGGATCAATAGGTCGACCCTGCCAGCTCAAGGGTATCCTTGTGTCCTGTGCCTCGCGACGCGTGCCTTGTTACACTCCTATGGCGATGTGGCCTTCGGAAGGGTCTTGTGTCCTCTCGCGTGCCCTGTCCAATCAAGGCCGACCGTAAACCCCACGCGTCCCACCCCCTCCCCGCCGCCCTGCTTCCGCCTCCCTTCGCCTGGCATCGCTCGAGCGCGTGCAGCTTCTCTCGGCGAGAACCATCGAGGAGCCCCCCCTGGATCATGTGGCAGAACGGCATGCACGAGGCCGGAACACACATGGGGAATGGACGTCCGAGCGACTCGTATAGGGAAAAGCGCCGTAAACATCGCTCCGCGAGGAACTCTTGGATCCGCGCTGGGCCCCCCCAGCGGCGCCTCTGCGGCCGCCCCTGGCGCGCTCTGCGCGCCAGAGGAGGGAATCCAGCGCAGATCCAAGAAATACGTGCGGAGCGCCAGAAGGTTATGTCTCTGGCGAGTTTCCTTCTGCCAACCGCTACGTCTGGGGCGATGTTCTGGCTTCGTGCGTGCCGCTTTGCTGCATGACCCAGGGGGTGCTCCTCGATGGTCCTCGCCGAGAGAGGCTGCACGCGTCCGAGCGATGGCAAGTGCCCCCCCGCGGCCCTTCCCCCGCCTCAGGAGCGCGAGAGGGTCCTGCAGCAGGCCCGGCGGGAGGCCGCCCGCTCCCCGGACCGCGCCCCCGCGACGAGGACGACGAGAACAACGAGGATGACGAGAGGGACAAGCAGGACGAGCAGGACGACGAGGACGACGAGAGCGACGAGGAGGACGAGGACGA